GGCATGAATTAACAGATCCTGTTATGTGTCACTGCCAAACAACACCCCGATATGTATTCAGCAACATCTCCTGAGTACAGTAATACCACCCATTTCATAGGCTTGTTGGGTTGTTTGAGGGCTAAAAGGCCACATTTGGCAGGTGTGCATATCCATTTTCCAACTTGAAATTGTGACATGTAGTCAACTTGCACCCATATCCTATTTGGGCCAATGTATTTTACCCCTATCAAACTATATATTTTTGAAAAGTAGACAACCCAGGGTATTTTTAATGGTGGTATTTTAACACTTTTCATGCACTGAATTCTACCACCAGCCTTTGTAAAACTTTTGGGATTTTTTTTTTTTCCCACACACTTTGTACTTTAGGCATGAATTAACAGATCCTGTTATGCATCACTGCCAAGCAACACCCCAATATTTATTCAGCAACATCTCCTGAGTACAGTGATACCAGCCATGCATAGGTTTGCTGGGTTGTTTGGGGGCTAAAAGACCACTACAGAGACTTGTGCATGTCGTTTTTTCAACTTGATATATAGGTATGCTTGGCCTATCTCCAGTTTGGTGTATTTTTGCATCCCCCAGTTAGTGTTACCATCATGAAAGTGTATATTTTTTATCAAGTAGACATTCCAGGGTATTTTATATGGGGTATTTTAACATCATTTACCCAACCATTGTGCTACAATATTTTCAGAGAACCTGCATGGTGATAATTTGTGAATTCTGCTTTTTTATTTTAGCCAGCAGGTTATATGTTACTGACAGAGTCCCCTGAGTACATATGTTCCTGCAAAGTCCCCTAAGTACACCTATGGCCCCCCATGCATTGGTTTGCCACGATTTTACAGTAACAAATTTTGGATTTGCCCATTTTGGCTGAATATAGTTTGCTTGCTTTGCTAGGCACATGTTGAGTGTGGTGCATTTTCCCATCCCCCAATGTGAATTTATGGATTCAAAGTATATATTTGTATAAAGTACACATCCAAGGTTTTGACTTATTTTCCCCAACCATTTTGCCCCTTAATATTCAGATTAAGTGTGTTGTGGTAATTTTTGAATTCTGTTTTTTTTATACACACTTTGCTTTTAGATTTTGGCCACAGTACTTTTTTAACCAAATGTGCAGGTATCAAATGCACCTTTAGCAGCAATCTCTGAACTAACTCCTGCAAAAAGAATCTAACTGGAGATCTGGGGAAAGAAAACTAACTAAAATGTTCTACTTTCAAAAGAAACAAAAAAAAAAAAAAAAATCAGGAACAAGTCTTACAAAAAGGTATGCTCTGTGTGGTAGAGCTTAAAACATGTTCCAATACATAATCCAAGTTTTGAAGGGCAATCAGGATAGTGAAAGGGGGTGTCTATCCTTTTCCCTTTTTTGTAACAGACCCAGGAATGTTTCTGGGGATTTGTTTTATTTGCAGTAGGGGGGATCTTAAAAATATAATGGGTAGCACCAATTCTTGATTCCTCTGGCACCGTTGTTGGAACTTCAACGGAACCATCTCCATAAATGATTGTTGAAATTACTTTTAGTTGAAATTGGACAAAAATATTTTTAAAAAGTATAAACGAATTGTGGGTTGCTACTTGCAACAGATAGATAGCCACCTTTTTGTACCAGGCTTTAGTTTTTCTTAACATAAGATATGGCTGCATGAGCTGATTAGCCAAATCTACACCACCATATGCCTGTTATAAGCCTGATGCAAACAGGTTTGGAATTTACTCTGCCTCGGACAGTGACATCTGACATGCTTTCGTCATGGATGGTGGTTAGCATGTTAACATCCTTCCTGTCCTTAAATGTAATTGCAAGCACTTCAGCTTTGCGAAGCGCTTTGGATTGACTTTTTTTTAATTTGGCCTCTATGAGAGGTCTGGGGAAATCTTTGGAGTTTTTTCTAACAGTTCCGCAGGCCAGTGTCTACAAACTATAAAGTTATTTTAACAAACTGACACTACTATAGAAATTGTCCACATAAAGGTGGTAACCCTTATTGAACAAGGGGGTCAGTAGGTCCCAAACTATTTTCACACTTGTCCCCAGAAAGTCAGGACAGCCAGGAGGGTCCAGTTAACCATCTTTCCCCTCATATACGCCAAAGGCAAATGTATAGCCACTTTCGCTCTCGCACATTTTGTAAAACTTGATGCCATACCTAGCGCGCTTTCATGGAAAGGGTTTGAACCCCAATTTCCCTTTATATTTCATAAGGGATTCATCAACAGATACATTTTGCTGGGGAGTATAAAGGTCAGAAAATCTTCGCTGCAGATGGTCTATTAGTGGACGTATTTTGTGAAGCCTGTCATATTGGGGGTGATCTCTGGGGTGACATTGGGGTGCATTATCATTGAAATGCAAGTATCGCAGCACCAACTCATATCTAGCTCTAGACATTGTTTGGGAGTATATAGGACTAGAACAGATTGGGTTGGTGCTCCAGTAAGAGCAGATTGAGGGCTTCTGTATTACCCCCATGGGCATGGTAAGAGCCCAGAATTTTTTGAGTTCAGGGACATCTGTGGGATGCCAAGTATGCTTCCTGACTACATAGATTCCTGGATTTGCATCAAAAAATTGGGTAACATAGAGCAATCTCCTCACAGATTGTATCTTCCAAAAATAACACCATATATTGCATAGCGGAGAAGTCCTGCACATTGACATTAATGCCTGCGTTGGCACTAAAAGGGGGATGTTGGGCTCAACTAACTGTGGAGGTACCCAGTCCTCCTCCACATTCGGCGTAGCAGATGAAGCACAGCTTCTTTTTGCAGCCGGCTCACAGACAGATGGCGTGTCACTAGACGTGTCGCTAAACTGACCTGGGTCAGAATCTGACGCCAAGAAGGCATATGCCTCCTCCAAGCTATACATGCGCTGCATGTTTCACCAACACAAAACTAACAAATTTCTAACACAAAGTTTTTTTTTTGTTTTTTTTTTTAAGTTATTTTTTTAAAGGTTTTTTTTTTGTAATTTTATTTTAAAGTTTTTTTTTTTTAAATAGACTAAAACAGACTTTAGCGGCAATCCCTAAACTAACTCCTGCAAAGAGAATCTAATGGAGATTTTGGGGTAGGAAACTGACTAACTAAAGTTTGACTCTTATAAAAAAAAAAAGTCTAAAACACCCTAAAAGAAACTAAAACACACTAAAACACTTTTTGACAAGAAAAAAATCCTTAAGTGCAAAATAAAAAAAATACAGACAGTACTAATGCACTGTTGTAATAGGACTTGGCAGGGAAGGGGTTAAAATAGATTTAAAAAAAAAACAAAAAACTTTTTTTTACAGGTTTTGACACTTCTAGCAACTCTAACACTGGCAACAAACGATTTGCTCTGATCTCTGTCTCTCTCGCCTCACAAAACGCTACAGAGGAGAGAGAGGCAGAGATCAGTGTCAAAGTGAGTGTTTGTAACACCCACTTTGACATCAGCCAATTGTGAGTGATCGCGGATCGCTCACATGCCACAATGGCTGTTACTATCTGCCTGGGATGCCGGGGAGATAGTAACAGCGGGATTTCGTCGGAAGAGATCTCTGATCGCGGTCCTCAACAGTATGTTACTGATGACGGTCCTGAACCGTCATCGGTCGGCAAGGGGTTAAACACCATAATTTTTACAATAAGATGCCCAAGGATTCCAAGTTTATTGTAGATCGTTATTTTTTTCAGGACTCTATATATACCCTGTAACAAATCCCTACAAGGTGCCTGGGAACATCCACCATTTTCTTGCCTTTTTTCCACTCTACCCTGCACATAAATACAAAGACTGTTCGTATATGGCATTACTGGCCCTTTAAGAACTAGCCGGGGACATATAAAGTAACAGAGACCAATGGATTATATATATATATATATATATATACCCCTTGTCCAGCAAAGGACATCAAGCTGTCTGAAAATCGTATGCTTTACCTGCTTTCATGTGAATTTTTTCTAAAGACTTTCGGTAGATTAAAGCATTCGTTTAATTGTTTTCACCAAAACTATATTTACACTGCATTAACTATACGAATGAAAACTACCGAACACCGGACCACCCTGATACCTAATCTAACGAATGCCCAGGATATTCACGGATGGCAAGCATTTTGGGACTTTTAATCCACAAACAGAGACCCGATCTGGGTGATTTTTAAATATGTTGCTCCCCAGAATAGGGCTATCAGGGGATACCAAATTTATGAATGTATGAAAAATGTGTACTTGTTAATTATGCTAAACGCTTATCTAAGGGGAAGAGATATGGGGGTTGTACCTTGTATTGGTTACTGTAATAATAATAATGTGGGTGGCTCCCTTGCATGGGACGCATCGCATAAAAGAAGAGTACCTGTCATTAAAATTCAGTTCTTCTTGATCCTTCAAAACGTAGCCTTGTCTCGTTCTTGGAAGGCAATATTCAGCTTAATCACCTAGCTCTTTTAAGAGCTCTGCATTGCTCTCTACTTGGATCCAGTGAATGGGGATAAGGAACTGCATTACTGAACAGCAGCTTGCCAGGAAAAAGGACGTCTCCAACAGCTGATACCCTCTCACCAACTGGGGTAGCCGTTACATACCCTTTTCCATATAACTTTGGAATTTAATCTAATTTAACATTTCTTTTGGGCCTGGAATGTCATTTAATTTCCAGTAGCGTGCTAAATAAAGTTTAGTCACCATAACAATATGGATCATTAGACATGTTGCATACCTGGGGGAATTGGTAAAACCATATGAAACAGAAACATATTTTATTAACTGCTTCATCCAATTTTTAATTGCTTCATGTAAAAAACTAGATGAATGGATGTTCAATGTTGATGATTCTTAATTTTCTTCTTATCTTCAGTTGACTGATATATATACGTCTTTTGTATATATATTCTTGGGCCAAATGCTCGCCACAATAATATATGTCTATATTATTGAAAAGTAGTAATACGCAATCTGACTTACGGTTTCTTCAGGTTTATTCTTAGTTACGGATACATAAAACAACAAATGATGCTACAGGATAATGGACATTCAACAGCAGATGGTAATTGCTGGACTTCTGATGGGAGAGTTACATCGTTGTACAGAGCCAAGCCAAGAGTGAGACCGACCTCGTGTCCCTCTGTTACTATATAGATGTGCTAATACTAACGTCAGCATATAACTCTAGCCATATAAGGACAAGACCCCCGAATCCACATTCCAGAGCTCTCGGACAAAGAAAGCCTTGTGACTTATTGATACCATCTGTTACTTATGTCAATCCACACATCCATATATAATCAATAGAAACATAGAATATGCAATATTCTACATTCCCTCTGTTTATGGTTTGTTTTAAAACCATAACACAATGTAATTAACCTGTCCATTCATACATCACTTGTATCACATTCATTGAGCATAGAACAGAATGTAGTCACAACTTTCTATTATATGAGAGTTCTTAGAAGATCGAGTTTCTATTCCTCATACTGCTTACTTTACTTTAAACTCCCTCTGTTTCAGCTATGTATTGATATCCATATCCATGTTACATCATAACTACTTGAACATAATATGTACATATATATAACAATAATAAATGAATACAATAAAATATTTACAAATGTTGATCCAATAAACAATAAAGCAATCAGAAAGATCTACCTGCTCAGGTACAGTCATATCTTTGTAGATAACAAAATCAAGATCGTAACTTTCTAAATAATAACTGTGTATCACTATCATACTCCTACAGACACATATAGCATAGTATTTTCATTCTCAATACCTGATATTACTTAAGTACTAATACATGTATTGCTTGTATATCCGTGCACTTATATTTCCATGAATCATATGGTTTCTAGCAACCTTAAAATCTTTAGGTCATTTGTATTCAAGAATTACATTCCTATACCATTAATACCACCTAGTGATGATTGTATCAGTACTTTACAATCATAGTATTTAATTTGTATATTCAGTAGGCTCTAACTACCTGAAATATATCAACACTACTTATAAGTCTCATTCAAAGGATGTGTTATCAACCATGAAGTTCTATAATAATTCTTCAAATAATGTTCATGGTGTTGACAATACTTATTGTCCTAGAAATTCTGCACCCAGAAATCTTTCTATCATAGATTTGTTTTTGTTTACAGAATTATAATTTTGACTACTATTCTACCTTGTAGTAACAAACTTTTCATTCAATAGAAACATAGTTTACTTTAAAATAACTTGGAAAGAATAATTTAAATTCATTAGCATCACTCTCTTCATTAGCATTGTGATGACTTATTAATGTAATACATCTTAAAAGCAGGATTGTCCTAATGTTCTGATCAATCCGTATTCCTTAGTACACTTCAACTGACTAAAATAAAATAAAACAAAAATAAACTTGGGGTCATACTGCCCAGAAACTCTTATTCCTAGTCTGTGTCTAACAAACTCAGGGAAATCTTAAAACAACGTATTCATTGGATATCACCATATCCAGAAACCTATTCTCCCTAGTCCACACCTTTATAGACTTAGGTCAAATATAATTGTGTACTATACTCTTTCCATTCAATTCAATTCCTCTTGGATCTCTGAACTCTTATATCCAATGCATTCTTAATGTATACTATTACTTAATATTAATCAATATAAATTATCCTTCCTTAGTTTTCTTCCTTTTATTACCATTGTTTGTTTTACTTCAACTATATAAACAAATTACTCATTATAGTTAATCTATGAAATACTATTGAACTCAATCTTTGTGATATTAAGTAACCATGATCCTTATTTTATCAACTTCATATTTTATCTACCTCTGATACATCTCATTCTATGTATAGGTAATAATATAACAGTTCTTTTCAAAATACTATCCTATCATAATTTTCTAAGTACTCTCTTTTGGTATTAATACTCATAACTGTTATATAACTTTTCATTGTCTGTTTTCATTTCTGTTAATATTTAGGAATATATATTAGTGTCAATCTTTTATTTCTTTGTAAGTCTGTTAATCTTCTGTATCGAATGAACTCTGTAGAATCTTCCATCACAGTTTGCAGATCAGATGAAAAGTCTCTTTCCAACAGTCGATGTCCAGTTGTCTGAAGGAATACTTTCCTGATTTATTGCCACAAGGATCTGTCACGCTTTACCTACATTAAAACAAATAACATGTGCAGCATCAATACAATGGCTTACAATGTTTATATCTCATTATTATTATACAGTTTAACATTGAATCATATTGACTACACAAAACATACTCATTTCTTCTCATGAGATCTACCATCTAGTGGTCATTACATTTATGCCATGTGATGTATAATCTTTAAATTTCCTTTATATTCAAATCTTTCTGAACATGTAAATTCTAAATTCTCAAACTTTTTATTACTCATACCTTATTAATCATACCCCCCTTTAAACTGTTTAATAATCTGGAGGTATAACCTAATCACATGTCAGATGTTACCACAAAATATTGTTTTCCACTATACTTTAACAATAGCAGCCATCTTGTCTTAACACTGGCACCATTTTGTCACATGAAACAAACTACAAAAAACATATATTGTTTCCTTCATCAAATGTATTTGTAAATCTAGGTTTTATTCTATCAAAACTTTTGTCTCATATATAATCAAAACATATGTATGTCCAGGCGTTGCAATATATAGTAATCCATTATCAGTCATGACATTAAAATCTCATTCTCATGAATTAAATCAAAGATTTTAAATCAACCTCAGAAGCAACAAGGAATATATCCATTGTTTTTTCTTCTGTAAAATGATTGGAGTTACCGTATAATTGCATACACCCAATATAACATTGCATGTTCCTAACTGCTACATTAGTGTATTTCATTCTGCCATATTTGCAAACTTGATGTAAATTTTTATTTTAATTAATTAACCTAATACTTTCTTATAACACACATAAAAACAATGAAAAAACTGTTCAGACTAATAATTCATTAAAACAAACTAACATAGAACTCTATTCTTGGCTGTTCTTAATTCTGGAATCAGCCTGTGTACATCTGTTGGCACTCATATCCATGCTCATTCCCTAAACTGATCATATCTATTGAAGTTACCGGATTCTTATAACTTTCTGTGTTACACTGCATTGCTTGTCTGTCTCCTAATTTCGATTTAGCTAAAATTGTTCTTATTTGTCTGATTATAAGTTTACAAGGAAAGGCCTTTATTGATTTATCTCCACATGTATTTTCTCTGTCAAAATTTTCAATCAACACATTTAATTTCTCATTTGCTTTTGATTTGATATCTCGGATAAAATATCTGCAAGATCTTAAATAATGTTGTTTATTGCACCAAAAACAAATAACTTTAGGAGTTATATTCTGCCTTTTATTATCAACTCTACAGTTTTTAGTTGAATAAATTGGGAGGGGCTCAGCTGTCTGTATCACTCTACACTCTGTCCTAGAAGAAGAAGAAGGAGGGGGACGAGGGCTGTAAAATCTGCACTTCTTTCTCTGCCTAAATCCACAAGTCATTTTAACCCCTTCATTATTGGTTTCTCTCCTTAAGTTATCCAAGAACAAAGCTACTTCTGTCAAGCTAACACAATTGCAGTTGGATCTAGATCTTGAAATTTTTTCACAAATTCATTAATTAACTGATCTTCAGAAAAATCAGCAACAAGTCTATATGCACTTTCAAATTTTGCAAGAAAACTAAATATATCCTCCCCTTTGTGTGGTTTTAGTTTTTCCAACATTTCAGTATCTGCAAAATCATTCCCTGTTGTTAATTTTATTAATTGTGTTAATCTGTCTTGCTTATTTCCATATATTATTTCATCATTGTCCTCACATTTTACAAGCGTGGTCAGCCTACATGCCATTTGAGTCGGCAGCCATATTTGAAATAGTCTATTCCTTTGTTCGTCATTTAGGCTGTATTTGTCTAAATTAGACTCAAACATTTCAGCATTAGTAAATGCATCCACTGGCGTGTCATAAACTGGAATACATTTCACAATTTTCATTAATTGTTCATGTATTTTCAAATTAAGTTTTGCAGCTCTATCTTGAAATTTACATTTCTGCAAATCACTCTGTGAGGATACATTTTCAGTATCTTTTGGTTCTGGGATTAGATTCTGTGCCTTTATTTTTCTTGTATTAACACACACTAGTTTAACTTCATTTCTAAACTGGCAAATAAGATCATTTCTTAGTTCAACTCTATCCTCTAATTCACAGACTTTTTCTGACAATGTGCTCTCTGTTACATTGTTACACTGTTCATTTAAATCTGATTTGTCTTCTGTTAACCCATTCAAATCTACTTTTTCTGCTGATTCTAAATTGTCTTGACCTGCATCTCGTTTACAAATCAATGCATTGTAAGTACAGACTAGTTTCATAACATTTCTGATCTTTTGTTTTTTCTTATTAACAAACAATTTCTTGTCAATTTCACTATTGGCAATTTCACATTGTGTGTATAAAGATTGCCACAATACAGCATCTGAATAGCTGCTATTACATGCAAACTGCAATTTACTTTTCTCTGCAATATCATTTATGAATTCCATGTTACTCACCAGATCAGTTATCTCTGTCTATTTCGTTGCTTCATCCACACAGCTGCGCAGTTCTGGACGCTTGATTCTGGACGCGTGCCAATCTCTGCCACGTGCTTGCTTCTAGAATTCACGTTGTATCTTGTGCTTTTGTCTCAGTTGTAGAAAATAGTCTTGTACAGTCTTTGATTTGAAAACTTTCTTTTTCTTACAAACACAGTTCTTCTATGACAGTCAGTCTAGATTCTTTTTTTTCTCTTCAAGTTTGTTTTCCCAGTTCCAAAATAGCTTTGTAACTCGATTCTTCTCTCTCCCCCCTTGAAGTGGGAACAAAACTTGAATAGAAGACTGGCTGGCTAGCCAATGTAAAAAACTAGATGAATGGATGTTCAATGTTGATGATTCTTAATTTTCTTCTTATCTTCAGTTGACTGATATATATACGTCTTTTGTATATATATTCTTGGGCCAAATGCTCGCCACAATAATATATGTCTATATTATTGAAAAGTAGTAATACGCAATCTGACTTACGGTTTCTTCAGGTTTATTCTTAGTTACGGATACATAAAACATAATATAGGATGTTACAGGATAATGGACATTCAACAGCAGATGGTAATTGCTGGACTTCTGATGGGAGAGTTACATCGTTGTACAGAGCCAAGCCAAGAGTGAGACCGACCTCGTGTCCCTCTGTTACTATATAGATGTGCTAATACTAACGTCAGCATATAACTCTAGCCATATAAGGACAAGACCCCCGAATCCACATTCCAGAGCTCTCGGACAAAGAAAGCCTTGTGACTTATTGATACCATCTGTTACTTATGTCAATCCACACATCCATATATAATCAATAGAAACATAGAATATGCAATATTCTACACTTCAAGCCTTTTACAAGACCACCAAATATGGAGTTCGATAACATCTATGAATAATCTTAGGTTGTGTTTCCCAGATATTAACACTATGTATAGTCTTTTTAAACCATCTAAAAGAGCTAAACCAAGTCTCTAAAAAGTGTTTTTTCAAGGTCTTTTTCCCAATTAATCATTCACAATGCCTTCTCATTATCTTTGCTAAAATAAAGTATTTTATTGAGTTTTGAAATTCTTTTATTTTCTTTATATACAGATATCAGTAGCTTCTCTATAATTTACTTATTTTTTAAGAAGGAAGTCACTCTTAAATCTGAAAAATATTCTTTGAAAGATATATACCATAAATACTGTAGTGGAGCTGCAATATTAAATCCCACGATCTCCGCTGGTACAGAAGGTAATCCACAGTCAAGCGCTGAAAAGTAAGGCAATATCCCAAATCCCCCAGTAACCGGACGAAACACAGTTCTGGGAGTCAACTGAGGTTTTTATTCACAGCTCCAGTATTTATGCAAGTCCCCATGCAAGGGGTTTCACTACTGACAAAGCAGGGGTAATACAGTAGGGAACTACATGGGGGACTTAACATTCTGAGCATTTCTCCCATCAGGCACTCAGGGCCGTCTTTAATATCGATTGGACCCTGGGCAAGCATTTGCTTGGGCCCCCTATACCTGCCCTTCCCCACTCCCCCATGCCCCCCCATTCTCAACCCCCAGCTCCCTGGCATGCAATCAGGGCCTCCACCCCAACCTACTGATAGAACCAATGTAGAGAGGGCTGTGGTGCAAGAATTGTTTTCTCTCCAATAGCGCAAGAGTGGAGAAAAGTTAGATACCCATCTGTCGTACAACTTCCACGATGGGGATCCACTGTTTGGCCATTCTTGTAGGGTTGTATTTGTGAGCAGTGTTTGTGAATTTGAATGTAAGCATGTTTTTGTATAGAGTATATGTGTGCATATAGGGGTGTATTTGTATATACTGTTACTATTGGAATGCAGCTGTGTACTTTTGTGTAGTGTTTGTGTTTGAATGCAGGGGTGTGTGTGTATGTAGTGTTGGCTTTTAAATGAAGTTGTGCTTTTGTGTATTGAGTTGGCGTTTGTATATAATTTTAGTGTTTTATGTAACATTTGTAATTGCATGCAGGGGTGTGTGGATGTAGGGTTGTCTTTTAAATGCAGATGTACATTTGTGTGTAGTTTAGTGAGTGAAGGGTGTGTTTGTATACAATTTTGGAGTTTGTATTAGGGGTGTGTTTGTATGTAATGATTGTGTTTGCTGTGGTGTTTGATTGCCTGGATATATACACATACATACACAGACACACACAGCCAGATACACACACTGACACAAACACAGACAGATACACACACAGCTAGATACATAGCCAGATATACACACAGCTCTGTACACTCACAGCCAGGTACACACACACACACATACAGCCAGATACACATGCACATACAGCCAGATACACACATTGACATACACACAGTCAGATACACACACACACACACACACACACACACACACAGCCAGATAAACGCACACACACACAGCCAGATATACACACACACACACACACATATAGCCAGATAAACACACACACACATAGCCAGATAAACACACACACATATAGCCAGGTAAACACACACACACATATAGCCAGATATACACACACACAGCCAGATAAACACACACATACATATAACCAGATAAACACACACACACATAGCCAGATAAATACACACACACACAGCCAGATAAACACACACATATGCCCAGATGCACTCACTCAGACCCAGGTACACACACATATATCAAGTTACATCATATTTTAGCCACCCTCTTGTCTCCTTACCTTTTGGGTACAGAAGGGTGGTTTCCCTGGGGTCCAATGGGAGCTGGAGGGCCAAGGCTGATGAGAGTCTGTCCTCAGTCCCTTTTCTCCTCCTGTGTATACCTCCTCTACCTCCCCAGCGGCACTCTGTTACTAGTGAGGTGAGATCACTTCCTCCCAGCAGGTAACATCAAAGGGGCCAAGGCCGAGCACTCTTAAAGGGCTGAGGGCCCTTAATTACATCAGGTGCTGCAGTCCACATGATTTGGACCCCAGCAAGGGGCCCACAGAGCAGCTACTTTGGCCCCCCCAGGAGTAACTGGGCCCGGGGCAGCTGCCCCTTTCGCCCCCCTTTAAAGACGGCCTTGCAGACACTGCTGGACGAGGGGGATACTCCCACTGGAATATACCGTTAAGTGGATTATCCCTCAGTGCAGCAGGACCGGCATTGTACATTTAAATCCATAACTTTAACAATATTCAGTTTATTTAAATGAATGGACATTCGGTAGATAGCTGGGGTCTGGGTGCACATTTTGTGGGAATACCGCTCAGATCCCGGCTAAAACAACCAAACGCCGCACGAATACACTTTGCCATTGAGTTCACCTAAAAGTACTGAACACCGATGGGGAACCACAATAGGGAAAGACCGGAGCTCCCGAACGGCCTGGAAGTCCAGCGGTGTTCGCGCCGTCGAGTAGCCGTTTTCAGTGCCACGCGCTCGACGGCCAAACACCGCTGATGAGACAAAGGATCCAAGATGGCCGACCGCCACCTAGGAAAGTCTTTAATTACCGATTGCAACAATGTTGCAATCGGTTAATGAGTGCCACACGTCCCTCTATGTGTGGGCTATTAGGGGGTAGCTCATTCGGTTCATGAACAGCCAGTAAAGTCGCTGTTCGTAAAACAAAATACATGAATGCTAGCGGCTTTCGGCTGCTAGCATACAAATTCTATGCACATAACAGTCTAGACCAAGGTTACACATATATTCCAGCGGTTATTACAGACAACCTTTTGATACAGATAGTCCAGCATCCTACAAGTGGCTAGGTTTGCCACAATGCTCCCCCAGAACCAAGCCGGCATACACAGTCTGATCCCAACGGATCAGCTTGGGGATGTCCGGGGAAGTGCCCACAGATAACTTTTCAAGTTCAGTTTATCTAGATAACCCGTCGGCGTTACCGTTTTGTTTCCCAGGGCGGTAATGGATTGTAAAGTCAAAAGGCTGCAGCGCCGAACTCCAGCGCAGCAGCCTGGTATTGTCTCCAGCCACACGGTTCAGCCACACCAACGGGTTGTGATCTGTGAGCAAGGAAAAAGGTGATCCATATAAGTATGGCTGCAACTTTTTGAGGGCCCACACTACAGCCAGGCATTCTTTTTCGATGACGGCGTAGCTCACTTCCCGTGGTAATAGTTTCCGATTTAGATATGCAACAGGGTGTTCTCCGCTATCTGCTCCAACTTGGCTCAGCACTGCTCCCAATCCAAACATTGAAGCGTCTGTGTGAACAAGAAAGTGATTAGTTGGATCAGGAGTAGCAAGTACAGGTGCGTTAGTTAGAGCCGTCTTGAGTTGGTTAAATGCCTGATCACACTCCGGGCCCCAGACAACCTGTTGAGGAAGGTTCTTGCGGGTCAAGTCAGTCAAGGGTTTGGCCAGGGCAATATAATTGGGCACGAATTTTCTATAGTACCCTGCAGTGCCCAGGAAGGCTAGCACTTGGGTCTTTGTCCTAGGGGTGGGCCACTTAGCAACGGCTTCAATCTTTGCTGGTTCGGGTTTTTGTTGCCCGCTCCCCACCCGGTGGCCCAAATACTGCACCTCTGCCGTATTTGGGCATTGCTAGGTTTCAGCATCAACCCTGCCTCCCCGATACGATCAATAAAGGCCCCTATGTGTTGTAGGTGCTCTGCCCAGGTCTGGCTATATATGGCAATATCGTCCAGGTATGCGCATGCATATTCCTGGAACCCATCCAGTAGCCGATCTACCATCTTCTGAAAGGTCACCGGGGCATTTTTCATCCCGAATGGCATGACCCGAAACTGGTACAGGCCAAACGGGGTGACAAATGCCGACTTGGGGATGGCATCCTCGGCTAGTGGAATTTTCCAGTATCCCTTACATAAATCTATGGTAGTGAGATACTGGCCTCTTGCCATCTTACCAACAGCTCGACGGGGCATCGGACAGGCATCAGACACAGTTTTGTCATTTAGCCTCCGGTAGTCGACACAAAAACGTGTCGTGCCATCTTTCTTAGGTACCAGCACTACCGGCGATGCCCAGGGGCTATCGGAATGTTCAATAACCCCTAGCTGCAACATTTCCTCAATCTCTTTCCTCATATGTTCCCTGATTGCTTCAGGGATACGATTTGGGTTCTGCCGCATAGGTAGCTGTCCAGGGGTCTCGACTCTGTTAGTGGCTAGCGGAGTGTACCCAGGCAAATTGGAGAAGGTGGCTCCTTTAGCCGTGATCAACTCTTGTACCTGGGCCCGCCCCAGTTGAACCCCCGTGGAGGGCTCTGTCTGGTCGTCCTGTTCTAATAGGTCAGGTAGTGGCAGGTTCTCCTGATCATCAGAGGCGGAGGCGCATATTGCTGCCACGTCCTCTATCCTCTCATGATAGGGTTTGAGCATATTCACGTGGAGCAATTTATCTCTTCCCTACCCCTGAGCAGGGGCCAATCACATAGGTGGTGTCACATCTCTGTTCCACCACCTGGTATGGGCCTTGCCAGATGGCCTGCAGCTTGTCTGTGCGGACAGGTTTTAAAATCAAAACCTTCTGTCCCACTTGAAAGCTGCGGTCTCTGGCTCCCCTATCGTACCAGCGGCGCAGGCGTTGTTGGGCCGCCTGGAGGTTGGTGCGCACGGCCTGGGTTAGTGCCTCCAGCACGTAAGGTGCAATGGGGGTCCCATCTGTGCTACTCTCTCCCTCCCAATGCTCTCTAATTAAATCTAACGGCCCTGCACCCTTCTCCCAAACAGCAATTCGAAAGGGGAAAACCCTGTCGACTCCTGGGGTACCTCTCTATAGGCGAAGAGCAGATGGGGTAGAAATCGCTCCCAGTCTTTATGGGCCTCTCCAACTGTACGGAGCATCTGCTTCAGGGTACCGTTAAACCTTTCGCATAAACCATTGAACTGGAGGTGATAGGCGGAATTTACTAAAGTTGTTGGGTGACCTTGGCGGTGAACTGGGTGCCCCTATCGGATATGATCTCTTGGGGAAACCACACCCTGGAGAATATTTTCATTAAGGCCTCGGCCACAGTTTCTGCATGAATGTTGGAGAGGGCGATGGCCTCGGGGTACCGGGTGGCATAGTCCACTACTGTTAAAATATATCTCTTACCCGAGGGACTGCGCTTGGGCAAGGGGCCCACTATATCTCTAGCCACCCTACTGAAGGGTTCTTCAATAATGGGAAGAGGGCAGAATTTGGCTTTGTGGTGGTCACCCCGCTTGCCCACTCGCTGGCAAATGTCACGAGTTGCAGTACTGCTGCATATCTTTAGAAATCCCTGGCCAGAAAAAGGCGTGGGTCAACCGGTATCGGGTGCGTGTCATTCCCAGATGCCCAGACAAGGGAATGTCGTGAGCAATCCTAAGAGGTTCTTGCCTATACTTTTGGGGGACTACTAACTGTTTAGTCGTTACTGTGACCGATCCCCCCACTACTCTTTCAGCAATGCGATACAATAGCCCTTTCTGCCATGTATACCGCTCCCCCTCTAACCCGGCCTGATCTGTGCTTACCCTGTCCCTGTATACCTGTAGCGTGGGGTCTAACTTTACCTCCGCCTCAAATTCAGTTGGGGTATCCCAGGTCATACGTGCCGTGTGGGGGCACTGTCTCTTACCTGAGCCTCAGAGTGTGCTGGTGGAACCGTGGTGTGAGCCTGCTGCCGGGTGGTCACTGGATGTGCTTCCCGGTGTGGAGCCTGGGGTATAAAAGCAGAGGTCATCAGGCCCAAGTCATTCCCTAGTACAACATCCACGGGTAACTTCTGCATCAGGCCCACCTCTACCATCCCCTTCCAAGCACCCCAATTCAAATGTACTTTGACAGTGGGTAGTCGGTACACTGCTCCTCCTGCAACTCGTACTGCCACGGATCCGCCGGTGGTGCTGAACCTGGAACCAAATGGGGTGCCACCAAAGTTAGGATGGCTCCTGAATCCAGGAGCCCCTATACTTCTTTCCCCACCAGTGTCACTAGCTTGCGATGATGTTGCCTGTTGTCAGTGGCTTGAACCGACATCACTTCGTGCAGTATTCCCAGGGGTTCTTCTGCCTGAGCGCTCAGTATATCCTGGGTGGCTGGCTCTACTTGATAGTGATGAGCGGCGGCCCTTGGTGCCGGGTTCTGTAAGACTTGGTTCCACGCTTGTCGGCTCCGGTTCTGAGTGCACTCCCGGGACATATGTCCCCACTGCCTGCAGGTATGGCATTGGATGTTAGCCCTGCCATTATATTGGGAGGGTGGAGGTTGGTTCCCTGGGTTGGTCTAAAGGGTGCTGCTGTGGAGGCTGTAGGCGTCACTGCACTGGGTTGCACAGTGGGTCGAGGGTAATTCCTATTTAGGTGCCCGTGATGCCTCCTTGCGTCAAAATGCTGGTCTGCTAATCAGGCCGCTTCAGTTAGGGTGAGGGGTTTGCGGTCTCTCACCCATTCTTGTGCCTCTGGGGACAAGCCATTAAAGAATTGTTCCAACAGCATCAATTGTCGCAACTCCTCCATAGTGGTGGCTTGGCTTGCTTGTATCCACCCTTGTGATGCTTGATCTAGCTTGTGGGCCCACTCGGCATGAGAATCTTTCTCCGGTTTGCGCAAGCCTCTAAACTTGCGCCGGTATGCCTGCGGGGTAATGGCATATCTTTCTAGTATGGCTCGTTTTACTTTGGCATAATCCTTGCTGTCCTCTCTGGGTACAGCACGATAGGCTTCTGCTGCCCGACCTGACAGTTTGCCTGCCAGTAACGGTATCCATACTGCCTGCTCCAAGTCATGCAAATCACACAGCCTCTCGAAATCTTGCAAATACCCATCAATCTCATCCTTCCCCTTACAAAACATCTTAAAGGCATGGTATGGGATTTTGGGTTTTACCTAGCCGGGTTTTACCTAGCAGTAATGGATTCTGCCCTGGACGGTGTCTCCTGTGGGCGGTGTTTCCTGTGGACGGTGTGCCATCACATACTCCTGCACATCCGCCATCAGCATGGTCAATATTTCCAAGGGTACTGGTTGCGGCAGAAACTCCATCCTGGTTCTCATCTCTCTTTGGTATGGGGTTTTCTCCATGGCTGGTGGGGGTGTCACGCTGTGGGCTCTGTCTCCCTCCATCAATTCGGCAATCAGCACTGCTTTCGGCTTGTTGCTGGCTATCTTTCCCCTGGTTTCCAGCAGTTCCTTTAGTGTCTGCCTTTTTAATGCAGTGTAATCTGTCCCCATTCACTTTAGTGTTCAGTTCTCTGCTGCATCCGAATTGCCATTCACTTTTCCCGTTCGGTAGTTTCACTTCATCTGAACGCTGCGTTTCGGCTGTAAGGTTGGATCCTGTCGCTTGCCACCAATTGTAGCGGAGCTGCAATATTAAATTCCACGATCTCCGCTGGTACAGAAGGTAATCAACAGTCAAGCGCTGAAAAGTAAGGCAATATCCCAAATCCCCCAGTAACCGGATGAAACACAGTTCTGGGAGCCATCTGAGGTTTTTATTCAGAGGTCACAGTATTTATGCAAGTCCCCATTCAAGGGGTTTCCCTACTGACATAGCAGGGGTAATACAGTAGGGGACTACATGGGGGACTTAACATTCTGGACATTTCTCCCATCAGACACTGCTGGACAAGAGGGATACTCCCACTGGAATATACCATTAAGTGGATTATCCCTCCGTGCAGCAGGACCGGCATTTTACATTTAAATACATAACTTTAACAATATTCAGTTTATTTAAACGAACGGACATTCAGTAGATAGCTGAGATCTGAGTGCACATTTTGTGGGAATACCGCTCAGATCCCGGCTAAAACAACCGAACGCCCCAAGAAATACACTTTGCCATTGAGTTCGCCTAAAAGTACCGAACACCGATGGGGAACCACAATAGGGAAAGACCGGAGCTCCCGAACGGCCTGGAAGTCCAGCGGTGTTCACGCCGTCGAGTAGCCGTTTTCAGTTCCATGCGCTCGATGGCCAAACACCGCTGGTGAGACAAATGATCCAAGATGGCCGACCGCCACGTGGTTGGTAGACGAACGACGGCCACCTCGGAAAGTCTTTAATTACCGATTGCCACATGTCTCTCTATGTGTGGGCTTAAAATCTGTCTGCTAAAATAAAAAAAATAAAAAATTGATATCTGTATTTGTCAGAGAGATTAGACCGTAGTTGGAAACAACATTGGAATCTTTTCCAGGTTTTGGAACAGGAGAAATTGTAGCTCTTAACATTTCTTCAGGGAACGTTTTTTGCTTTTGAACTTCTTTAAATAGATTTGTTTAAGGCTGGAGTGATTTGTTCTATAAAAGTTTTTTTTTTTTTTTAAAGAGTAAGATAACCATCTGGACCAGTTTTTTTTGCCCAACTGCAAATTCTGGATTGCTGATTTTATTTCCTCAAGCTCTATTGGTTTATTTAAAAAAAAAAAATCTATCTTATTCTGTGATAATCATGGTAGTGATGTTTTACGAAGGAAACCATTAATCTGCTCCCTTGTTAACTTATTGTCCAGGAGATTATATAAAGATTTGTAATAGTTTGCATATGCCTGACCTTTTTTTTTAGCGGAAAGGCAAATGTTGTTGCCTTCTATTTTGTTCATTATTTTATTTATTTTTTATGGTTTTTAATTTACTTGATAATAATTTCCCTGTTTTTTTTTTTTTTTGTTTTTGTTTGTTTGTTTTTTCTTGGTGATACCAATATTGGCTTAATTTACTTAATGCATTCTGAGATTTAATTACAATTTTTTTCCTTAATTTCGATCTGAATTTTTTTGAATCTCTTCCCTAAGCTTATGTGAGTTATTTTTTTCCACTTTCTTTTTGTGCCAATAAAATATACAAATCATTTAATTGTTTTCCTTGTTTGTTTTTTTCCCTGCTCCTAATTTAATAAAAAAGCCACACAGGTATGATTTAAAGGTACACCATAATGTTGATTCTGACACTTCTTTATTATTGTTCGTGATAAAAATAATCTTCAGCAATATTGGTTAGATATGTTACATTTTCTTCTGTTCATAAACTCTCATTAAATCTCCATGAAGAGGATTTGTAAAAAGATTGTTTTGTTTTCATGGAGACTAAAATAGGAGCGTGGTCAGACCATGATATTACAACAATTCTGTGTACAGGCACTCTTTTATCCGTATTGGTGCAAGGTAGCAAGGTGGCCCATATACCTCCTAATATACAATATAACAAAAAATGATACCGCACTCAATAATTTTAGATATAATTCATTACTTCATTTAATAATTCATTAATTTTGTAAATATAATATTATATGAGTATAATTCATTAATTTTGCAAATTTGAAAATATATACAAAAGAATAGAACAATATGTATAGTAGAAACAATATATCCTGTGACAACTAATATTACTCCATGTAAGTAAGTCCCTACAACATCAGACTTGTAAATAATCAGTAATGAGGAACTGCATTAATATGTTTCAAAGTCCGGATTACCAGCCAAAAAAAAAAACGAAAAAAATATTCTAAAAAATGAAAAAATAAGAAAAAAGAAAACCAAAAAGTGAAAAAATTAGAAAAAAATATATAAAAAGAAATAAGGTATATACAGTTCCAGTGTGTACACACTATAATATATGGGTGGAATTAAAGTATTCCACCAAGTGAGGAGACGGATGTGACTTTAAGTAGAACGCCAAATTACTTATTTACCTCTGTAGTTATTGCATTTGGGTTCAACTTATACGGGCACATGGTTTTGGCATGAGCCCTAAAGCATGTGGCGCATACGTGTAGTAATCTGCAGTCATGAAAATGATATACCCCTGTATTCAAATTATTACCGATTTGTGGGTAATTACATGGGTAGTGAGGGGTGGGGGGGAAGGTGAGGTGGGGGGCCTACCCTGTGAGTTGATAGATGTGAGTACTTGTGCAAACCCTATGGGAGGAGGATCTATGTCTATCATTAATGGACTGAAGAGATGACAGAATGGTGTTTAGAGTTCCTAGTATATCTGAGCTGTGTCCCTGTGAGCTGGTACCCAGCCCAGGATCCTCAGGACGCGCTGTAAGCAGCTTGAAGAGTTCTGATTTCCTTGCAGTAGCTGTGAAAGGGATTCCCTTTTGGCGCAATTCAGCCAAGATCCTGGGGATAGAGCAGGATCTTCACCCCTTAAGGACACATGACATGTGTGACATGTCATGATTCCCTTTTATTCCAGAAGTTTGGTCCTTAAGGGGTTAAAGAGCCTGGCGTGTATGGTTCTTGTAATTCCCTGGGGGTATTATGCCTAATAGGGGTGTTAGGCCTAGCGGGTGTCCTAGGAAGGGATGATTCTTTTCTTATGTTGGCTTCTTCGGACATACTGCAAGAAAGAACAACACAACAACAATGATCTGATTAATGAAACACCGTTGAACTTAAGTAGAACTGTCTGGCTAACTAGTGCCAAAGCGAAAAGCTATCTACCCGTGACAGGTGATGCCCTGCTAGTTGCCAAGTGGCTGGTGAGAGGCTCTATCTATGATTTGGGTGTGGGGTTCACGCCACTAGCGTGGTGGTGGGGTGTTGGCCTCTCGGTGACAGTAAAAGATCCAAAAATGTGTGGCTGTGACAGGTGAGGCCCTAACTATAAACCCGATACGTGGGTGAATGTGAGGCTCTAACTATGATTTGGCCCGAGGGGCAAAAATCTCTGTGTTGAGATTGGGGAGTTGGCCTCGCAGGACCAGCTACGTTGTACAACTAAGGCCAGTGCCTAACCTTAAACAGCCAGTTCGCTGACCCTGGACAGGGGCTTGATGAAGGGCTAATGCAATGTACTTAGCGAAACCCAAGTTGTGATTCTCGTGAAAAAGCTTCTTATGAGACCTACAACATAAGAGAAAGAGAGGAAAGGAGAGAGGGAAAGGAAGGAGAGAGAGAGAGAAGAGAACAAGGAACAAAGGAGTGAGGGAGAAGAGAGGGGGGAAATAATAAGTTTAGATTTAGTATAGTGAAGTTCTTAGTGATATTGCTGATAGTATTGTATCCTTAAGCCCCGAGTGTGCTGAAGAGTCCAGGGATATCTACTATATTCCCCTAAAAGGAGATCCATGAAGACGTCATGCTATTAAAGCGTGGTAGTATCTGAAGGAAAGAGGAGGGTGAAATGAACAAGAGGTGTTATTTTGAATCAGGACGTTTGTTTACAGATAGTGAGTTTGGATAAACGTATGACGAGTTGTCGAGTGGAGCCGTGGCCTGATGAGGCAAGGCAGGAAATCAAGCCCCCATATCCTGATAACCCCATTATGGTGATGTGTGGCCTTGTAGAGGCAGTTAATAGAGATGTGAACGAAAATATATTTGTACCTGATAGAAACAGGAGACAATAATGAACCAATAACCAGGCTTTTGGTAGAATGCCCTTCAGGAAACCTGAAATTGAGGTGTAGTATGTCAAAAAAGGGAAGGATATCCTTAAGGTGACATATAATACATAATAGTAACCCTTCCCTTTTAATTATAAATATAATCGTATTAGAATATCAAATTATACAGATTTATGTAATGCATAATAAGCTGTAGCTTAGCAAATTATAATAAGTAACTTTTCAAATATAATATTAACTTGTTGAAACAATAGAAAAGATGTTTGTCAAACTGATCAGTCTGAACAATCCATCAATAAAATGTCTCAATAGTCTTTAGGACGTGATACAGAATAGACTTAAAACCTTGGTAGAAAAAGGAGGGAATTTAAATATATATATATATATATATATACACACAATTTACATATCAGTTTAAGTTTGATAAAGAATGTATAGATACAATATATGTTTGGTGATTGAGATCCCCCTTCTAAACAGTTGACAGGTGTATAGTTATACATTATTATTCCTCAGTGTTCTTCCATTCACATAATCTAACCAATAGAACAGTAAGTGTACAAATTGATATTAAGATATAGGAAAACAGTATGAGGAACTGTTTCCTATTTGTAATAAAAAAAAATCACAGTTATATATAATGTATCCCTTAAATATGCGACTAATAGAGTGAGGCAAATTGTGTGCCAAATATACTTAGTGACAGAAAATAAAAAGTAAAAATAGAAATAGAAACTTCATATAATGAATATACGGTTATGTGACTGTAAATAACCGTATCACTTAGAATGATAATAAAAAGATTATTCGGAAAAATAAGTAAATAAAATGAATACAAAGTTTATTGGGCATATTGAAAAATACTAAAAATATATATTAAAATATTAACAGTAATTAAAAATATGAGTCAGGAACGTATTGCAAGAAAATTACCAGCACTTTAGCAGTCCTTGTATCAGATAAAACGCAGGGACCATCCAGGATGGATGTGGATACAGTGTTGCATAAACTGTAATCTCTGGCTGTCGGCTGTGAGGTTGGCGTGCATCCCAGACCTCACTCTGAGTGATGCACGCTTACTGGCCGATCGGCCCCCAGATCTTTGGGTGTCGTACTGTCGGTAAGAGGAGGTTGCTTGTTGCTGGCTTCAAAATTCTGCGTCCGTATCCTGCTCAGTCTGAGACCATATCAGATCTTTGATCTCCCCACACAGCAGGGCCGGCGCTCGGATAGCGCTGGCCCTGCAGGGGCCGGCCAGGGAGATCCCTGCCGGCCTCGGCCCCACGGCCATCGCGGCCCACCGGGCATTTGCCCGGTATGCCCGATGGCCAGTCCGGGCCTGTTCATAATGGCATCAAAAAAATCAACTGAAGCTAAATTAACAGTATACAAGATAAAAACGTAAAACAGAAATTAATGACAGACGTAAATCTTGAAAACACTGAATTAGAAGGTAAAATCATTACTGAAAAGGATCAAATAACTTCCTCTTTTCTCCATACTAGTCTAAGATCAAACCTGGAAGAAATTAAGAGGGAGTTGGCCACAACATCGGCTGAGATTAAATTAGAGATTAAATTGGAGATAAATGTCCTAGCGGCTAATATGCAAAGATTTGAGGAACAATTTAAAGAAATGGACTTTCAAGTTAAATCCCCCAGGGATGATTGCCAAAGGGCTCACAGTAAGATTGCCAACCTTGAACTTAAAATCAACGATATCGAAGATAGGAGTCGTCAGAAAAATCTTCGGTTTTGAAACATAGTGGAAAAGGGCTCGCAAGAAGGTACAAAGCTGATATTGTTGGATTATTTAGTGGCCTTGGGTATTGCTTTTGATCCACATGACCAAATAATAGAGAGGTGCCACCGGTTGTTTAAACCTCAATCTATTCAGAAGGACTTTCCAAGAGACATTATCGCTTGTTTTTTTTCCTACGATCTCAAAGAAGTGATTTGGAAGGCTGCAAGAGAAAACCAAATTAAATCTGGGGGTTTCATGGTATAAGATACAGGTGGTTATACCCCCTAAAAAGCTCTTTGACCTATGAGGGCAAAAGGGAGATTTTTGATTCAAATTCGGCTTTGATGGAATGGATGAGAACCAAGAAATTATTGCAGCAAATGTAAATAATTAACATAAGTGTAACAATGTATTTATATATATATATATATATATATATATATATATATATATATATATATTTTTTTTATTTTTTTTTTGTCAATATGATGATGTTGAAACTGTTGAATTGTTACCGATGTCAGGTGGAAAAAAGTGGAAACATTCGTGAACATGGTGTAATGTGCAAATTATTTGGTATTATAATTTTCCATCTAATAAGTATTATAGTTTATGTTTTTAAATGTTTCCCTTCAATCTATAACTGATGATGAATAGTTACGTTCTAGTCTTAATTATGACTTTGTAAATGTAAAATGCAAATTTGATTACATCTTTATGTATTATTTAGGCTGTTTACGTAGATATTTGACTGGCGGCCCGTTTGAATTGTCATAAGTGTGTAAAATTACTTTTAAGATTTAGTAGTTAACTTTATATCGGGGCTTTATGCACTTATAGTTCACAAACATGTATGATATGATTGAGGTAGCGGTCGCATCATAAATTTAAAGGACCACTATAGTGCCAGGAAAACATACTCTTTTTCCTGGCACTATAGTGCCCTGAGGGTGCCCCCACCCTCAGGGACCCCGTCCGCCCGGCTCTGGAAGGATGAAAGGGGGAAAAACGTACTTTTTTCCAGCGCTGGGCGGGGAGCTCTCCTCCTCCTCTCCGCCTCCGATCCGCCCCGTCCCGTCGGCTGAGCTGCGCGCGCATTCAGCCGGTCGCATAGGAAAGCATATCAATGCTAGAGGCAAGTGCCTCTAGCGGCTGTCAATGAGACATATCAATGCTAGAGGCATATCAATGCTAGAGGCAAGTGCAAGTGCGAGAGGCTTTGGGGGAAGGCTTAACCCATTGATAAAAATAGCAGTTTCTCTGAAACTGCTATGTTTATAAAACAATGGGTTAACCCTAGCTGGACCTGGCACCCAGACCACTTCATTAAGCTGAAGTGGTCTGGGTGCCTAGAGTGGTCCTTTAATGTTGGTGCGGAATAATTTTCATAATGGTAATTGTCCCTATACTTAAAGGATTCACCTTTATTCACGTTTAAAAATGATGATCCTGATTAGTTGATGGTGTAATGGGGTTAACCGGGAAAAAGTGGGTACACTTGACACTATGACACTTGTTCATTTGGAGATGATGGTGAAAGGTGTAAATTACGCAGCATCCCAGCATCACAATTCTTTACAAATTTTGTAATACAATTGGTGATGATACTAAAAACTTTTAGTGTCTTTGATCAATTATTTATAATTGTGCTTTGATATTTGTACACACATTTATTCAATACTTATGAGGTTCACATAGATATTTAACTAAAGGGATTTTAGAATTGTAATAAGTGTGTAAAACTAGAATAAAGACTTGGCACCAAACTTTAAATTGGGACAAGGTGATGGTAGCATTACAAATGTAATGTTGTTAAAGAAGTAATGGTATTTCCCCCTAATTAACGGTAATCGTCCTTTTATCACGTTTGGGCTAGAATTTTTGAGATTAGATAATAATTAAAGATATAGATATATATAGATATATATATATATATATATATATATATATATATTTTAGTTGTGTTTGCACGAGGATCGCACTCTCAGAGAATTTTAGAATACTTATTAGGGATATGATTTTGATAATGTTAGTGTTTAAAGGACCACTCTAGGCACCCAGACCACTTCAGCTTAATGAAGTGGTCTGGGTGCCAGGTCCTTCTAGGGTTAACCCATTTTTTTATAAACATAGCAGTTTCAGAGAAACTGCTATGTTTATGAATGGGTTAAGCCTTCCCCCTAATCCTCTAGTGGCTGTCTCATTGACAGCCACTAGAGGCGCTTGCGTGCTTCTCACTGTGATTTTCACAGTGAGAGCACGCAAGCGTCCATAGGAAAGCATTGTAAATGCTTTCCTATGCGAGGGGCTGAATGCGCGCGCAGCTCTTGCCGCGCGTGCGCATTCAGCCCAGGAGGAGGATCGGAGGAGGAGAGGAGGCAGAGAGCTCCCCACCCAGCGCTGGAAAAAGGTAAGTTTTAACCCCTTTCCCCTTTCCAGAGCCGGGCGGGAGGGGCTCCCTGAGGGTGGGTGCACCCTCAGGGCACTATAGTGGTCCTTTAAAGTTCAAATTAGGGGGCTGCTAGTTAGATAATCTATTTAGTAGCCTAATTAGAAGTGGTAAAAACACAAACTTTTTTTTTTTCTCATTCAATTTTTAACTAGGGGTCTATGTACCAAATAGTTGATAGTTATTCATGATCTAACATTGAGGGGGTAGAATCTACAATACTAAAAGAAACAAAAAAAAATCAAATGGATTTTTTTTTTCCACTTCTTTGTTTATAAGTAATTTGCGGTTAAGATCTCTCCGGGATGTGTCCCGCTCCCCTGTACGGACTGCCCCTCTTTGTGTAGTGTTACTGCATTGTCTCTGTTGATTTCTATTGAGAGCTACAGATTATGCAATCATGTGTTTGTTTTATGGTTTAAAGGATGTATGGGTTGGACCTGTTTGGGTTCCAACCCTTAAGGATGTGTGTGAATTGTCTTTTTTTTTTTTTTTTTACCCCAGAGCAAGAGATATCGTAATGAAATTCTTGACAAAAATAGATGATAAAGTTAATGTCTGTAAATGTTCAGGGTCTTAATACTAATTAGAAAGAGGAGCAGATTGTTTAACTCCCTTGTTGAGCATGACATAAAAGTGGCTTTTTTTTTACAAGAAACTCATTGGTTTAGACACTCTAAACAGAGATGGCGGGGGGGGGGGGTTGACAAATTCTCTACCATTATTCATGCTTCCTTACCAGATAA